ATTTTTGTAACTGTGATATGCGTTACTAAAGGCTCTAGGCGGTATTGTTCAAAGATAGAAATAGAAAAAAAGAAAGAGAGAGAGAGAGAGAGAGAGAGAGAATGAGAGTGAGAGTGAGAGTGAGAGAATTTTCCTTTTCTCCGTTTTCCTTTTTAAGGATAGAGATTAGATAATCGTAATCGTATATTATCAGGAGTGTACATAGGCATTTCATAGCGACTGAGTTAAATTTAACATTTCTTTCTCCGTTCTATTTTTCTTTCTTCGTTTTGATCCTGGCCAACGGCGTGGCCAGGATTTAGTTCAAAAAGGCGTTCGTGTGTAATTGGAATGTGTGCTTGATCGTCTCGCCTAATTTTCACGATCATAGTGTCACGTTCTTCGCAGAAAGGATTTTTTGATAAAAAAAAAAAAAAAAAAAAAAAAAGAAAAACAAAAANAAAAAAAAAAAAAAAAGGAAAAACAAAAAACTCCCTTTGATCCTAAACCCTGTGTAAAGTTCTCTAAAGATCAAATCTATCCATCGAATTGTCCAAAGTATTTGAGACATTTTTTTTTCTTTTTATTTTTTCCCGAATTTTTTTGTAAAATGTGTACCTATCCGCGAGAATGTTCATCGTTTACTTTCAATTTTATAAAAATATTTTCTGGGAAAGAGATTTGAGCGAAAATTATTGAAAATTGTTTTTTTTTTTTTTTTTTTTTTTCTCCAATTGTTCAAATTTTCGAAAACACGTACACGCTCATATAAGTATCGAAAGATGAAAGTAGATGCAACTGTTCTCACACGACGATATTATAGATGTTCAGGGTTCAAGTTATGTAAGGAAAAGATATTGATATTATTATTCCTTTCTGCATAATAGCCTGTTGTACGATTAAAACAGGAGGCACTGTGATTATCGTGACGACAGCCAGCCAATCCCTATTTTCTACTTAATCCCTATCCTTAATGTTTACCTAATCTAAAGTCAATATTTTTTTAAGCTAACTAGTTCGAGCGGTACAGAATCGAATAATAAAAGAGAAACTGACAACGTTTTCCAATTTCCATTCCCTGTTGGAACTCTCCACTGCGTTGCCGAAAGTCAATACGAGATAATTCATGTTCCAGTATCAAGTGAGATAGGCTCTCTAATTTATTTCTTAAAACTTAACTCAATTACCTAGACCTTTTGATCCTATTTTCCCAGTGTACGTGTCTATAAAGCCTGTGTGTCAAGGCTCGATCATCTTCGATGGAGAAAATGTTCGATACATCACAAATAAAACGTAAATGTCGAAATTTTGAATTTTTTTTCATTTGCACGGCCAAGATTGATTAATATTGATATATTTGAACACAAGAAAAATATGAATTTTATGATAGATTTTTTTTTTAGGATCACAATTCCCTAAGGATATGTCGCAGTCATTTCCCAAATTAATTTCCAACCACCGAACCGACGTGACTGGAAAATTATAGGTTATAAGTAGTAATATTAAATTTTGATTTTAATCTTTTATTTAATTTTTCTTATATTATAGAAATAATTAATTATAATTAAATGAAATTATATAAAGTATTTCGATATTATACACTCTAATACATTTTTATAGTATATTTGTAGAATTGATATTTATAATAACTAAGTAGAAAAGTGAAGTGAACAAAAGTTAATTAATGAATTTAATTAAATTAGGGAGAATTTTGTTTCCATATTATAGTTGCAAATTTGTGATTTCTTTTCTTATCATGAATTATTTTCTTTCATTTCGTCAAATATAAAGTGGAATTTTATGTATCAATCATCAGAAATGCTACGAACTTTCTAAACAACCCAATACTATTAATCTCGTTTCTAGTAATATATCTTTAATATAACTAATTACCCAGTGTATTCTATCATTTTGAGTAACTAATCTATATCTTTTAAATTTTTCACAAACATCGGATCTCAAGTTGAACATCCCATCAAGTTTAGAATTTAATCCATCAAAATGATAGAACTATTTTTATGGAATTTAATATCTAAGACTTACAATAAAATAAATCTAATACGTATTTTGGTCAGTCTTAATCCTCTTAACTTGTGGATTTTTATAGTGAAATAGATACAGAATGGCAAATCGAGAAAACAAAGATAGAAAAATCAGACATATTCGATTGAATGCATTCGATGTCAAGATTGAAGAAAGTGTAGGATGGATGATTCCGGCTTTCTAACAGTTTCAGTTTTCGATAGACCGGATCGCGGAACATCGTGAATATTCACGAGCAATAGAAAGCAAAAGTTATCACGATCGGTATTTTTGTAACTCGAATGAATTTGTCAAAGGCGAGAAAAAATTTTTTATTTTTCCTAATAAACTATTTGTAGATAAAAAAGAAAAAAAAAAAAATGTTTCAAGAAAAGAAAAAGCTAATTTCATATATAATTATAATTATTGTACTTATATTGATTCTCAGTTAATATCGTTTTAGATTCTAAATAATCCTAGAAATTTGACAAGCAATTAATTTAGATAGAGATTAAATAAATCTAGGTAAAATACGTCGGTATTTTCTCAAAAGAATAAACACGAAAATCATTCGATTTTCAACGCGAAAAACTCGAAAAAAAAAAAATCAGCTGCGTATTTCTAACATGGCTGTTTATTTGTGATTATCGAAAAACCTTTAGCTGCCGACATCATAATTTTAATTTATAGTTTTTAATCAGCATCCATTTGCTGCTCATTTGTGATCATAGTGTTATTATTTCTACAGCTGTCTTGTGATTGAATTAAACCTTTGATTGTATTAAATGTACCAATTAATTATATTTTGTATACTGATTTTACCGTTAGTTGCTTTATTTTCCCAATTGTTTTTCTCGTTTCGAATTAATTTAATAAAGAGTGTACAGACAGTGTACGTGATCTACACAGTGTAAGTGTTCAATTTAAACTTTTTATCCTCACTAAGAGGTTTTTTCCTCTAGGAATACAACTTCGAAAAACTTATTCATATGCTCGTCTTGATTTTCAGATCTCTTTCTTTCTTTTTTCTCACTCACTGTCGTTTTCTGCATTTGACAAATCGCAAAGAGAACTCGAACTTAAGTTAGGTTAGTTGAGGTTAAGTAAGTGATCAAATTTCAATATCACTATTTCACAAGTACCATAAAAGTTTGCACTACACAATTTTCGAGCAATGTTATCCAACGTTTACCCTATTTCTAAATTTTTTGATCTTTCCTTTTCGTTCATTGCTCTTTTATATACGTTCAACGAAATGTTTGGCTCAGTCACGATTAAAATTACGTCAGAAAAATTGCAGGAAAGTTATTCAAATTTATTATATTAATATATAAATAAATTTATTATATTAATATATAAATTATTATATTATTTGTAATCATTGCATCGTATAGCTTCGGTTACCCCAATCATTGGGGTGAATACCCCAATTTTTAAATCCCCATTTATATAATTAATCGCGAAGAGACCGATAGAATGGTTTAATTCGCTCAAGTTGGCGAAAGCACAGTTATTTTCTTAGCAAGTTATTTCGCGTCTCAATTCCACGATCGATAATTACGCAATTTCGTGCCAGTCACGTCGGTTCCACGCTAACGACGCCATTTTTCTCGCGGTTAGCACAATTTTAATTGACCCGCCCCGGGTGCCGAGCGACAGGTCTCTGTTTGGTTGGCAGACCTCTGTTCACGTGCGTTTCATATAATTAAATCCGGTTGACGATCGTTCCAATGAAAAGTTCCAATGAAAGTTCATTGCGCAATTGTTCGTCGCGTATATGGAGGGGGGAAGGGTTTGAACCGCGGTCGAAAGAAATAGAAGCAACAGGATAGAATGTTGCCCCCGATCGTTCTTTCGTTTGGGAGACACTTTTTAGGAGCGAACATATCGATCAAGATTTGATTTGAAACGAGCATGTTATTATAAAATTTTATATTTAAAATATATTATTATTTAAAAATAAAATTATTAATAATTAAATTAATTAACTAATTAAACGCGCTTTCCCGATTTTCTCCCTTTTTTAAAATTTAATCTGGTCAAATTCGTGCTCGAAAAAGAATGCCTCGAATAATTTTCTTAAAATTCGTCGTATCACGAAATCAATTAAAATTACACAATTAAAATTTTCTAATCCACAAAGTTTAATCGTTCGTACGAAATTCGTTCGAAGGTATGAATTTCAGGCCAACTTCACGCTAACACGGCCCCATGATCCGTAGACGCAATTATACAGGCGATTACAGGCGTAATAAGACGATGCACCAGGTTCAAGAGGAAGGTGGGGTGGTAGCGCAGGCGTGAAAGTCTTCGGTTTCACTTGTCTTCCAAGAGATCTACCTTGGCGGGCGAAGTAGGAGAAGAAAACAGTGAACCTCGCCGTTCGAACGGATCCAGAAGCGAAATCGTGCTCGTGCCGCGCGCAATGCGCCTCCTCGATCGACCGGAAAACGGAAATAAGCTCGATCTCGCCGCGGATGAAGAAACGAAATTCGAAGCCATCGAATTGTGATTTCCTGTGTGACTCAGTTCTTCGAACACGATACCAACGTGTGAATTTCTCTCACGCGTTCAATTTTAATAATCCACCGTTGCTGGACCATCTCTCGAAAGTGGAAAAAATAAAATCGTTAAAAATAATTTTCACAACTACTACCAATAAGACGCTTGTCTTGAGATAAGAAAATTTCTTTCTTACGTTTCTTTCCAGACTATATACGCATATATATATATATATATATATATAATTTCAATGTGATCGTTCGAAAAAAATTCGAAAGGGTAGCTTTAATTTTCGACGTTGAAAAAAAAATAGAGTTGTCAAAATTAGGGAAGAAAGTTTTATTTCACGGCGAAGAGAGGGGAAGGAAGGGACGAAGAAATGAAAATGCCAACCGAATCGTCGATATACTGGGACTCGGTCGGTTCCCAGCATTCCATTTCTGTCGGTAGCTCCGGGGACGGTTGCAGCTCGGCAAGTGCGAGCAGGCACTACGTGGATCCGTGGGATCTCGAGAATTACGCGTACCTTCGTCGACACAGCGTGGCTGGCGTAGCGCAACAGGTTCCTCCTCGGCATCGTCGGCGATCGGCTTATCGGCTGTCCCAAGACGCACGTGCCCACTCCGAATATTGGTGAGTGGTCACGAGCAAATTTCAACCATCAGACTTGACATGGGACTCTTGGCCAATTTTCTTTGATTTGTGTTGGCAAACGACGATGCATTCGAAGTTCTGGAACAGTTTTCAAAAATCAATCGATGAAAATTTAGAGTATGATGCAGAATCATTTATAAAGTAAGAGGTTTATCGATGTGAAACGATGATTTGAAAATTGTTCAAGTGGACATTTGGGTTCGTCCAAACAAATTTAGTTTTAACTTGACGATGTAATCAGACGAAAGTTTCTAATAAAATTGGCTAATGTGATAATAGGGATATCCTTTGCACCCTAAGGGATAACTAACTTCGCATAATCGTCGGGGTGGAGGAATTTGATTAAAACTTTTTAATAGTTTTCAACCGTTAATTAATTTAAAAACTTAGGCAAAAGTCGATTTTAATTTTTGATTTTTTAATTTTTGATTTTCAAGTTTTCTACTTCAAATTTCTACTTCATTTTCTATTTCAAATTACGAGAATTATTTATTAGCGGTTTCCTAGAAATTACTGCAAATTTGAACGTATATATGCATTTTACCGTGTGCAACTAGAAATGTTAATTAAGTGAGACTGGCAGATCGAATCTGATAAAATTCTCATTAATTAAATGGTAAAACTAATTGTTGACATTTGAGATTATGATCTAAATAACGAGCAATTTCTCGTTCTTCGAAGTAATCAAACGCTAAAAATGTTAAAAATCTACATATCTAAAATCCTTCGATTTTACAAATTCATAAAAATTGGAATGAAGAATTTTTTTCATTTTGAATGGAATCTTTATTTATAACGATTTCTATCATATCATTTGTCACAAGATAGAGGGTGAACAATTTGATTTTTTCATTCTCTCAAAGATTTTGACAATTGGAAAGACAACTAAGAATTCTTTACAAATGGAATATGATTTATTTGCAGCTCCACGATTAATTTTTCACGAAACTGTAAATAATTCCATGCATGTAGCTTTCATGTACAACAACGTGATCGATTTAAAAAAAGGAAAAATCGTAAATAAACGTTGCAAATTAATTACAAATTATGTGAACTACTAAATTCCACACGAAATTTCCAATTAAAAATACTTGAGAAGATATAATGAATTTCGCAAGGCATGCTCGAATTTCCAGTTTTAAAAACGTTCTCGTCGATCGTTCTCTCTGTCTCTCTTTCTGTTTGGGATTACATAAACTCGCAGGTATAATATTTTTTCTTTTCTTTTTCTTTTTTTTTTTTTTTTTCATTCACAGTCTGTTTAACCCAATATAATTTTCATACATTGCAATCAGTTCGAGAAAGATCGTATCTGTGGGTGCGAAGTAGGGCACCGTGTTCTTGAGCATTGCTCTCGCAACGTGGTAAAACTTATTAAACTTTGCACACCTTCGCTCGACGCATCAAGGAAACGCGATTTTCGAAATAAAAAATTTTGTAAAACGTTGACGTGGAAATAAATAATATGGGGAGGAGAATGGATATTAATATTAATAATAGAGAGATAAAATAAAAAACATGAAATAAAAAACGTACGAGCGATACGATCTGTTATCAAATCAAATGATTCATAATTTTTGTACTTATTACTGTCTTAAATATGTGCCAACTCAAATACATATTTATTTACGTATGTACGTAAAAAAAATATGATAATCTGAATCGAAAACGATTGAACGAAATTTTCTCGAGTTTTAAAGACTGTTAAAGATAAGAATCGAAAGGTAAATATTAGCAATTTAATATTTCATTGAACAATGATGTAAGATAATATTTAATATTTACGATAATTTTTGCAAAGATCGAAACGCAAGAGAAGAAAGGGAAAATTTATTTTACCCGAATATAGAAAAATCGAACATCCGTATTAGGTATCTAAGTAATACTTAGTATTACAAGTGTATTGCAAGAACAGATAACCGTATAAAGAGATCTTGAAAGAAATCTTGTTAAAATTTCCGTGAACGATTACTTCGTCAACTACCATTCATACTGAAATTTCTATGAAATCGAATTACTCGCTTTTTTCGAGAAATAAGAAGAAGAAAAGACGTATGTGTGGAGGGAATGAAAGAAAAAAAAATTGCACAACCAGAGGTTGTGTGGAGACAGCACGAGACACAATTACGAGGCAATTTAATTGCCGGAAAGAGACACTTCCTTTAATCGTAATGGGCATGCATCAGCGATCCAACGTGGTGCATTGAACCCTGTAACGCCGTTTAAATCGATCATTTGGATCAGAGCCGGTGAAAGGCCCTCGACTCGTTTCGAATCACCGGCTAATTTAGTGGGGAAAAAAAAAAAAAAAAAAAAATTCTTCTGGTAACGTTGGAACGAAGATTGCTACTGGAAACGGTTACTGTGACTCGCCTTTAAATGGACATTTCTAATATTATCATGCTGTTGGCTCAACTGCTCGGTAAATATCGTGTAATAACGAGATACACGAGCGCCTCGTGCAAAGCGTTTCGTATTTTTGAAATTATTCCAATTGCTATATATCCGATGTGTCTAATTCCACTTTCTCGATTCAACTATTTGTTCGTGATTTTCGTAGAATTTTTTAACGAGCAATGAAAACGAATCGTTGACTTTTTTCACTAGAGAACTTGTACGCTCGAAAGATAACCTCAAAATGTCTACTTAAATCGAGAGAGTTTCTACCGATGAGTTTGTAATGATCTTTTCTTGTATATATTTTTTTGCTCTTGTATCTTTAACGATTTTTTATTTGATTATTTTCTTTCATCAAAATATATAGCATCGTTATTCGTTGGATAATTGGACGAACAGTATATCACTCTGAAAATGAAAGTAATGCAAATCAAGAAAGTTAAAGAGAGTTTAGCGTCATTTACTCGTTCGCGATGAATTTACAATAATCTTTTCTTTCTGTATTTATTTCTCGAGTCGTTTGCTCGAGTTGTATTTAACGATTTTTTGATTATTATTGTTAATCATTTGAAAAAGCGTATAACTCTGCATTTGTAAGATTGAGAAATGATAGTTCAGCATAAATTTGAAAAAAAAAAAAAAAAAAANAAAAGAAAACTGGCAAACCTGGTTGCAGGTATACGCCGTCGGTGAGAGAACCTGGCTACGACGCACCTGCTTTCGTGGAAGAGTTGTATTGTGGACCAGCCAGGTCGACGAACAATAGTTGCTACTATCATCAGCCAATCTACGAGGACGAGGTACCGGATTACGTCGCCCCATATCCGGTCTACGCGCCTCTCTCCGGTAAGATTAATTGCTTTTTCCCCGACTGTCCTCACCATCCATCCAATCGAGGCCTCTCCACTAAATTACAAACAACAGAAATTGTTTTGAGGAGAAAAATTAATTATCTATTTTGCTGATTAGTTGTTTGATAGATGTGGCATTTTAATAGATAGTTTATTCAGCTGTATAATCAATTATTTAATGAACAATTACTTTTGGATAAAATTAATTTCATGTGCTTAAATAGCTGCTTAATTAATTTTTAATTATTTAATGTAAACATTTCATTATTACATTCATTTTTACAAGTTTCTTTAATAACTAATTCTATTATAAGTAAAATTTATGTATAATATATGTATATAATACATATTATTATATGTATAATTTATATGTATAATATTATAAGTAAAATTATTTTTAACATTTTATTGTAATAAGTGATTCTATAATGTTATTCACTTTAATAAATAGTTCATTTTAAAATGTTTGATAGATAATTTAATTTCTCTGATAGATAGTTTGCTTCCAGTAATAGATTTTGTGTTAGATAGTTATCTAGTGATTATTTGAACATCTATTGTTGAACATCAAATATACATCTAAATATACAATATATATAATTAAAAGATCGATGTATCACAAAGATAAACTTTATATTAAATTATGATCTCTGATGTTTCAAATTCTTTTGTGTTTTACTTCAGAATGTGTTATATTCTACGCTTAATTCACATAACGTTTTTATATTTTCGATCAGGATATAAATTAATAATTATTCATCGTAACGAATCTATGCACAAGATGCACTCTTCTTTGATCTGAACCTTGAAAACGGAAGTTCTAGGTCCATAATAACGTCTATAATTATACTGACCCGATATACGTGATCAGAAAACCGTGATGCTGGTTTTCACTTGCTTTCACTCGGTCAATATTCATAACATTTTCCGGATATCGTGTTTATTTTTCCTAGTAGAAGATCTTCGTGAGGATGTCTCACATTTTTATTCATTAAGACTCAATCTTTTTTTCACTTATTCGATATTAAAACATAAGTCGAAATCCAAGAAAAAGATTTCTACTTCATCGTTCTTTTCTTCAGATTTCTCTTGACCCAATTTGTATTATTGCACTCTTGTTACACTATTTCAATTAAAACGGAAATTATCGATCTATTAGTTTCACTTGATTAATCTATTAGTTCAAGTTCTCCTAACCTAAAATTCTACATCCATTATACGTATCAAAATTATATAATTAAAATTTCTATCGAACTTCGATACGATTATAATTACGATTATCATCGACAATTTTATCAGTCTATCAGTTTCGCTTGATTAATCTATCGATTCAACTTCTTCTAACCTAAAATTCATGTCAGTTTAAAACACCGTAATTTCTATCGAACTTCGATAGATATTATAATTACAATCATTATCGACAACTTTATCCATTAATTTCGCTTAAGATTAAGATCTCTTCCAATTCAAATTCTCCTAACCTAAAACTCTATAAAATTCGCTATAAATAAATTCATCCGAAAAAAACAACACAGTTAAAACTAAAATATGAAACTTCGATATAATCGTTCATGTGTTCATGATAATGCAATTTCAATGTAAATTTTGAACTCGTATATATCACGTAGTAAATTTCTTTCTCGATTATTAAAAGTAAGGAACACACGTAACTCAGGTTATAATCTGGCTACAAGCCAAGGATCGCGTGATCAGAAACCACAAGTCGTGGTTGGACGCGTTTTCTTCTCGCCGATCCCTGTCTGTTAATTGATATTCCACCACGCGGTGACTCGGTTACGAGTTATTCGAAAAGGTTATGCAATTGATGCATTGCATCGGTGCGCTGCACGTGCCGCGATGCGCTTGGTCGAGGAACGCACTTCCGTTTTGGGTCCGGTTCAGAAATTCCATTAATGGTTAAGTTACGTCGTTGCCACGGAGCAAAACCGTTTCTTTCCTTTTAAGCGGATCCACGTCCGCTTCTTTTCATTCGATTATTCGATATCTTTGATATATTTAAAAAATATTATATCTCACATCGATGTATCCGTGTACCTAGATTTAATTTTTTATTATTAGCGTAAAATTAGAAATTTGTTGCGTTACAAAATCCTTTACAAAATTTTCAAATTCAGGTGTAGAATTTTATTAGCAAAAAATTATTGAAATTAAACATGTCTGAATAGAATATCGTACATTACAAATTGAATAATTTGATTATATTTGATTATAATCGGTATAAACGTTTAATTAATTAACATATGATGTGTAAAATTCATGATAGTAAAAAAGATTTTTGTTGTTAATTTATTACGTGTTAATTTATCATATTATCATTTTTTTTTTTATTCTCATTTTTCGAATAAGCGTTTGTAGCGTTTATTATTAGAGTAACTGGTTGTTACACTTGCTGGGTGTGTCTTGAAACGAGATTGGTAGAAAGGGAATTGATTATAAGTGTACACGCGGTAAAAGGGAATTGTAAATTTTCCAATTGAAAGTTTTATCGTATTAAATCTATATTTGTTCGATATTTTTCTCTGAATGAATACATTAATGAAAAACTAAGATTGAAAATCTGTTAATAATATACATAAGATTTATTTGATTACAGATATTGCTTCAAGTTATCTTATCAATTTTGAAGATATATCAATCGTTCTTTAGATAACAATCTTTTAATGAGAAATCATTTTTACAAATATAAAGATAATTTTTCGTGCCTTAGCAAGCTTTGTTTCAATATTTTTTTATCCTATCTAAAAAAAACTAGAGTTTTTTTTATTTATACCATAAAAAAGATTTATAAATATTTTATTTTATAAATGATTCCATACAATACAAAAAATATTGATAATTATATTTTAAATTCTTTTTAAAGCCTAAAAATTAATTAATAAATTAATTAAACTTGGAAATAAACAAATTATCTAAATTACTTACACTTTTTTTCTAATCACTTTATACAACTATAATGCTTTTACACATGATTAAATAGTGGAGGGGAAAGCGACCTTGAACAGAAAATCTTTGATTCCATCTATAACCTAGAAAACTTACGCTTTCTCAATCTGTTCCCAATAAATCTTGCAACAGAAACATTAAATAATCGATCCGTACTAACAACAATTACGTTAACGAATTATACAATCAATGAAAATATGAAAGTTAATTAAAAACTAATTAATCATCCGTACAGTAATCGCTTTTTAATTACTTTATTCGTGTTATTTCAATGTTACGTTATCAATGTGAAACTCTGTATACTCATTATGACATTCACAATTATATCACATTACATATTTCTATATGAATTGATAATTGATTTGATTCTTACAAACATAATATAACATATCAAATAAAGTGATTAAAATATCATTTTTATCGAGTAATTGAATTTCCAAATCATTTCGATAAAAGTTTACTTTTAACGAAAAACACACGCGACACAGATTCATTTAATTCTAGATACTTGGCTTAATAAAAATAAAATAAAAAAAAATATTTGGTCATTTTAATAATTTTGATCAACTTTTTGGCGAAATATTACAACGTCGCCATTTGTCATGCGTCGCAACAACTCGACCACGATTTCTATCGTGTCCTAGAAAGTCCCTATCGCGATGGCAAATCGTGACACGCGGCGCTAGTAGTCACGAACGTCCTCGCGCAACATTGGCTTGATTATCATTTTTTAGCGGCTTTCAAACGCCTCTGCTTTCACCTGCGAATGAATAGATTCTCTCTTATAACGTCACAAATGACAATTTCATTCACGTTAGGAATGAATGAGATTGAAGAAACGAGAAGATGATGATCGTCGATGAAAAAATTGCCTTTGATCCTCGATTTAATTAAAACTAAGGCGAAGATGATCAAAGAATATTCTTTTTTCTTCTTCTTCCTTTTATTTTTCGTTAATCCTGTGTTTGATCTTAATTTTCTTCATCTTTTTCTACTTTTTTTTAATTTGGATGAAAAATTTGAATGAAAACATGATAATGAGTTATTCCTTGAAAAAGTATTATTAGCAATCAAAAAGAAAAAATTCAAAGATGATATTTTAATGGAATAATATATGCACTATTTATAATATATTCACTATCGATTATTTTTTTTTTTTTTTTTTTTTTTTTTTTACTTATTTTATTACTTCGTGGTCTCTTTTTTTGAAGAACTTTTCATGCTTCAAAAAATAATAATTAAAAAAAAATTATGTTCGAATAAAAATCCACGTGTCATCACGATTTCCATGTCCTTGTTCCGAATCCCGCGACCCTGCCATCACATATAAAAAAAAAAAAAAATAAACACAAAGGCGTATGTGGGTGTCGAATCCCTCTCTTGTCAATGAATCAAAGTTAAGTCTATTAAAAGATTTATTCTCGAAGACCTCCATATAATCGGTTGTTAATCAGGTGGATTATTCGATAGAACGTCGGGAATTGAAACCTGGTCAAACATGTTTGACCATGGATGGATCTAAAGTGGAAAATAAATCTTCTCTCGTTCGAACACGTAACGAAGTGGAATTTTTCTTCCATCGTAATCGATCTTTCTCTGGATAAGTAACCGGAAGATTAATGTTTTTAAGCTTTGAGAAAGTTTTATTAAGAGAACGGTGTGTGGAGTTTTGTTGAATACTTTCTCCTCGGTTATAATTGAAGGAGATATCGTTCGTTGTTTCGAAATAATTTAGCTTGATAATTCTTAAGATGAATATCTTAATTTAATTTTTAAAATATTCGATTTCAATAGTTTCTTCTTTTTTTTTTTTTTTTTTTTTTTTTTTTTAGATGTGAGACACGGCGAATTCATGGAAGACCACAGGCGATACGGGCACAGATGCAAATCGATCCCTATACGAGAGATCCATAGGTATTTTTAAAAAAATATTTGATCTTTTTTTTTCTTTTTTGTTTCTTTTAACAAAGGGATTTTTCTTTTTTTTCAATTTTTCAAGGTCGATGAGCGTTGATTCTAGCTTTCCACTAATGGATTCTATAGAATCAGGTGGGTGTAATTTTTAATTGGTTAAATTTTTGATATAACAATTATATCTATATTTTATTTTTATGTTGACAGATATTCCGGATTATCGTTTACAACAACATTATCCGTCGAGGGAGGAAGAAAAATACATGGTACAAATTGTTCCACCTCCACATCTTGATTTGAACACATACGGACACTTAAAAATCGATTATACGAACAGCTGGAATTCGTTGAATCGAAAAATTAGTAAATAATCATTAATAATATTCTTGTTGTCAAAGATAACATTAAGCATTTTTTTTTTTTTATCAGATATATCTTGATTTATTTATGTTTATCGTTTAACATTAGTATGTTTATCGTTTAAGAATCTTAGAATCGAACCAAAAATTATATTTAGTTTAATTTACTGAAATATTATTGAAAATGAATTTAACTTTAGATTAAATTAATATATTTTATATTATTTGTAATGTACGCAATAATTATTTTGTATTAATCTCGTTTTCTTCTATATTTTGAACTGATAAATTGTGTATACTTTGAACAATATCCACTGTGGTATCTTTGTCTTCATGGAACAATTTCCTTTTCTTTGTTTCAATATTTTTATTTACAATTTCCTTCTCAAAACCCATATATGTATCATTTATTTTCTCTATGTTCAATTCTGGCCATCTATAATTTATATTTTGATATAAAATTAATTAAATATCAAGTATTTGAATAAATTAAAAAAATAAATTAATAAAAAAATTGAAATAATAATTATTTTTTAAATCATAAAATTTTCAAAAAATTAATCAAAAATAACAAATTTAAAATAGTATACCTAAAGTACGAGGTATCTTTTTTATTTTTTCCCGAATTTTTGGGCCGTCCTCTTTTTTTAGGTTCATTCTAATCAAAGACAAAAGAAAATATATTTGTTTTTTAAATAAAATTACAAATTTTCTGAATCATTCTACATAATTTCAAAAAATTTATTTACGGAAGTAGGGGCCAGTTTTGCGTTTTGCAGCAACATTTTGTATCTTTGTATTTCATCTGTGTGTTGTTGCTTCAGTAATGCAATATCCTCGTTATGTTTCTCTTCTTGCATTAATAACTGCACTTTTAAACATTCCACTTCGTCTTGCAATCCACGCACTGTGTTGAAAATAATATAATTATAAAAAGTTAATATAAAATAAACAATAGATATTTTATAATTGATTAACGATACTTAATAAATAGTTAATGATCAATCCATAATCACATAATTACCGATAAACGGTAATATCGATGCAATGTTAAAAAAATTAATTTAAAAGAAAGAATTTCCTAAAAATAATTTTGAGGAAGAAAATTTTATCACCCCTGATTATAAATTTTTTTAAAAAAATATACATGTGCTTAAGCATTCATAAAATAACGAAGTATTTTATTATAAATCGTAAATCGTAAAAATTAAACATTCAACTGATCGATCGATAAGAAAGAAAGCGATATGAATAAATAAAAAATTTCTGATAACAAAATTAATAATTCTGAACTGATATGTTTCTTATCGATTCGTTTTAATATATTATGGAAAACAAAAATATTCGCCAAAAAGTTATATAATAATCCAATTAATCAAAATTTATAACGTAAGATTTATTTATATACTTTGCTCGTCGTTTGCAATACGTTCTGCATTAATGAGACGCAGATCATCGCAATCTTTTTTCAATTCCTCGATCATTTTACGAAGATCGTTCCCTTCATTCTGCAATTTCTCAACAGTGGTCTTATATCTCTTTTCGAGAAGCAAATAAGTTTTCGAAAGCTTTTCTAGATTCTCTTTCATCTTCTCATAACGCTCTTTCTCAATCGACAATGCTTCTTGTTGTACTTCACAGTAAGTTTCCATCGCGACGTATGTCTGTTAATTTTTAGTAAGATAGAAGAAAGTTAGAAAAATATAGGTTTCAAATAATATTTAAAGGTGAAAGAAAAAGAATAGAATGAAAAAATTAGACGCACGTCACGAATTCTCACGAATTGTTCCAGAATTTCACGCAACTCGGAATTAAGATACTCCTTCTCCTCCATTTTAGAATTATTTAAATTTTGCAAACCATTCATCAACTCTAGTCAAAACAATTGTTCGTATTGAAAAATTTTGTATCAAGAGCAAAAGAAACATAAATTGATATTCGTTTAACAATTTTTTATCAACGAGAGGATATTTCTTAATATATAGAATTAATTAAATTAAATTGAATTAAAATTTTATGGGAAATATTTTGAATTTAGTACGGACACGAACCACGAGGTTTGAATATTTGTTATATGTTATAAAAAATTCAATACTAAATTGCAAGATGAAGATAAAGTGAAATATTTTTATCTCTGTCACATCGCCAATTCAATTTGTCTCTGTCTTACTTTTCCTAACATAAAAACTTAAATTTAATAAATAAAAACCTCGATCGATATATTAATTTTTGTGTTTGTTTTCTAGAATCGATCAAAGATGACTACGAATATATTAATCCTCTATGTATTTAAACGATATTATAATATATAATAAAATAATCCTAACAATATATGTATAAATTTAAGTTTTTCTATTTATTATCATTAACATTGTTATTAATATTACATTAATTTAATTATTTTATATTATTTCTTACTTCGTTAAACATAATAAAAGTACATACGTAATTAATAATGCGTAAAGATAACGATCGTAGCAAGTTTTTTTCCATGAAGTTATTCACGAATGTGACAACATTTTGTTTTTTCTCGTTTCACTCGCGTATCGTGGGCAAAATGACAGGAATTCCCTCGGGGTTGAAAATGCGCGATGCAATCTAAATCCACGATCACCATCAACCACGAGAACGACGCCGATGAATCGATGGAAGAGTCTGTCTTCGAGCAGATATGCGACACGATATTCGTTCTGATACCCGAAGGTTTGTTCAACTTTCAAAATTCTTTTTTTTCTTTCGTTCTTATGTCCAGAAAGGAAAAAATTGACAAATTTAAAATTACAGTGCCCCATTTATATACAGATCAAATATAAAACTTTTTCTTTTTTTATTTTAATTTTTAATTTTTACAGCATTATTTTATAAAGCATACAAACATAAAAATTTTGAATAAAACTTTGAAATATTTTTGGAATATCCATCGACATATATATATATATATATATATATATGTAAAAAGAAAAAAAGAAAAAAACATAAATGGAGTTCTGTAAATAAAGAGTTTCCATCAAAGGTTTTCATAATTCCAATATCGATTATTAATTGTATTAATTTTATATCTATAACTGACGACTGTAAACTGGCCATAGATACGTATTTATGATGGGATTCTATGATAGTGCCGCGACTGAAGCAGCTGTTTCTAAGTTGGAGTCAGCTAGGCACCGAAGACAGAGTACAATTGGACGCCAAAGTGGCCAACTGGTGTTGTCCTAACAGAAGACAGCTTTATAAACCTTTGCAAGAGGCTTTGGTTCGCTGGGAGACTGTGCAGGACACTCAAGGTTATTTACAAGCAAAAATTATACGATTATTGATTACAAATTACGGATTTAAATCATTTTAAAATAAATTAATATTCCACGTTGTTCTATCCCTTAATTGAAAAAAATCAAGAATAAAATTTCATTTGAATTCAACATACATACATATATATATATATATATGTATTATCGATTCGAGACACGAAGCATCGATATATAATTTATTCATAAATTCAATAGGTGCTCCCGGTTGCGAGCCAGGTATGGTCTCCTTTTCCTGCGATCCTCAGTTGGAGGAGGAATTGGTCAGCGTCATTTATAGCCTAGAACTGTTATTCACGAAAAATCGAAAAGGTAGAGAGATCGACATGGACTACGAGGTCGGTCGTTGCACAGAGCTCAGGAGAGAGATGTCTTTGAACCTGAACTACGACGGGACTCTGCGCTCGATTTTGAGCCCGAAAGATAAAACACCTCATTCCGTGCACAGTTGCAGTTACATCGCCGATTTCAAACGATCTGACGAGGATCTAAGCGGTTACCTGACCAATTAAGAATCGATGACGATTGAACATTTTTTTTTATCCCAATTTTCGACTTTGCTAATGAATTTTTTTTGGAAAAATTCTGCAAATATAAAACGATAGATTGTTTCCCCCTCTATTGGAAATTTTGTTCAGTTTATCCTGGATGAATTTTCTTTACGACAATAGAAACGAAGTGACAGTCGATAGTTGTTAGGGAATTAGGAAGAGTATAATTAGAGTAATCTTGAGAGAAAAATAGAAATATTATTTTGTAAAGAGATACGTACTCTTACGATGAAATTCTAAGAAATAATCGGAATAGTTAGTAAGAGATAATTTTTTTTTTTTCTTTTTCTAAAAATAGGTACCTTCTTTTTTTATCACCCAAATATACCTGTTTGCGTCCTATCATTGGTATATGAAATACTGTCTGATCCATTTAAGAAAAAAAATTATAACATGTTGTTTGCATTTTTTTCTTTTCAGAAAACTTATATTATTGTAATAAATAAACGAAATAAGAATTAAAAAATATATAAGACAGAGAAGATTGTGATTGCACAAAAATTAGTGACATAAAATATTTTATTAATCATCAGTTATAGAGTCAAGGTGTACGAGCATACATTCAAATAATACAAGTCAATCATTTTACAACGAAAGTTTCAAACAAATACGCAACAAAAGGTGTCCGGATCATAAATGTATCAACTCGATTCGCCGCATCATTTAATCATCATTTACCTCGTATTTATCCTCCTTTATATTCTTTGTTTTATTTCTTTTTTTTTTTTTTTTTTTTTTTNTTTTTTTTTTCATTTTCTTTTTTTTTTTTTTTCTTCTCTAATATAATTATTACACAGCAATAATAGGTTCAGGATGATGAACACTGCTCCTTACGAGAGAAAGGTAGACGTTATACAATACGTGTACATGAATTAACCGCGCTTCACGAGAGCAAGGAACACCCCTCAAGACGTGTGCAGAGACATCCATACTTAGAAAGATTGCCCGCAGAAACATTTATCCGTATATAAAATATATTATGAACACGCATAAAAATCTGTCTAAAGTGTTGTTATACATACATATATACGATCGGTCAAGTTTGTAGAATTGTGATCTCTTTAGTCACCAATAAAAATTCATTTTCACCCTATGTCTTATGAGCGTAATATACAACACGTTTCACGGGGAAAAAAGGATCCACAAAAATTTTTATACACGGACACGTCTGTAAACAATGTCTCTAAGCCAGTACACGCCTTCGCAATCTCTCATTTCTTCGAACTCTATAAAGTGTGTTCGGACTACTTATGCAGCTTTGCAACAAGCAATCCGACGGGAACGTAGCTCTTTTTTTTTCTTTCTTTCTTTCTTTTTTTTTTTTTTTTTTTATTCTTTTAATCATTTACAACACTCGTTTTTTTCTTTTATATATACTTTTTTTTTTTTTTTATTATTATTTACAGAATCGCTATTATTTAAAACCGGACTGATTCTCAACGAGTTGCTTCCTTTGCGGTCCTCGCGATCAATTTCGTTTTCCTCGAAATGCCAAAAAGTTGGTTGGAACGAAGATCTTGGAAAGATGGAACCTAGGTTATTCCAGATCACGTTGGGATGCGTTAAGTACTATCGAGAGTTGGCTAACAGGACGAGAATCTCGGAGGGAAGGATCGAGAATAACCGAAATTCCTTCCAAATTTTTTTTTTCTCTTTTTTTTTCTTTTTCTTGTTTTTTTCCTTTTTTTAACTTTTTTCTTCTTCTTCTTCCTCTTCTTCTTTTTTTTTTCTTTTTCTTTTTTTAATAGAAAAATTCCCCGAATTTAGGACCACAGAGGAGAAAAGTTTCCTTGCTTGAAACACGATTTAGCTATTCTCCTTGCGGAGGAGAGGGTCGTCCGAAGTCGAATTCAGTTTGAATCACAGCTGTCTGTCAACTATCATCCAATAGTTTGATTGGACGAGTTCTATTGCTACTAGTTTTGTTGGACGATATCCAGCTTCAGGGACCCAGGTGGAGCAGCTCTCAAAGAAACTATTCCAGGCAGTGGATATCCTGGCCTAGATTGGCTAGCAACGATTTCTGAATTTATCCCTTCATCCAAAACGAATTGCTGGCGGTGGTTGAACGCGGTGTCGCCTGTTTCTTCATAGAAGAAATCATCTGAGGGGGTTGGGGGTTAATTAATTATCACGATAGGGAACGGTATTGCACAATTTCGCGCCAATACCTGACGAACACGCTTGCTGTACGTCCACAAAGACGCGGATCTGAATTTATATATAGTGTCCAATTCGGGCGACACCAATCCCTTCTCGAGCTGCTCCACCTATCCGGCCTTAAGGACACTTGTACGTGAACTCTGGTTCAATCTCGTCAACGTGATATAGCCGACCATCGAAGATGCAGACTGTTTATTCTGTCTCTGTTTAAATCTGCTTCCATGTTAAAAACGCAAATTGAATATTCTTTGTTCCTTTTTTTTTTTCTTTTTTCTTTTTTTTTTTTTTTTTTCTTTTTTCTAGGTCAACAGTCTACCCTGAGCAGTCTGAGGAGTTCGAAAACTGTCGATTTAAAAATTTCTTTCTATATTATCAGTCATCCAGGTACAAGTATCTTCAACAATTTGAGGCTCGAGTGGACGACCAATCGAGTGTGTGAATGAAAAATTTCCCCCGCCTCGATTTGGCCAGCAGAGCAGCTTGCACTATGTTTTCTTTCTTTTTTTTTTTTCTTTTTTTCATCTTTTTNTCCTTTTTTTTGTTTTCATTCATCCACGAGAAGCGAATACTTTGAAATGTCGATGCGCTATAACGCGCATCAGTTTTATATATATATATATATTTATGTGTATATATATATATATATATATATGGAAATTGATTCTGCAGCTGGAATCTTAGCAACTCTGCCTCTATCTCTCTTTCTTTCTCTCTCTCTCTCTCTCTCTTTCTCTCTTCACGAATCGATCGTTCATCTTCGTGGATTCTTATCTTATACACTTACGCGACGTAAGTTGAACGATTTTCGTCGAAACGATCGAGGAGGAGAGATGAACTGTTGTCCGTTGTTTCTCGCTTTCAATCGCTTCGTTCATACAAGACACGTTTTTTCCTTTTTTCCCATCGTTTTTCGTCATCTAAAACGTTTACGTTTAATAAGTTTAATCGATATTATTCGGTTGATAGTACCATACCATGTGTGCCGCTAAATAAATACAGTTATTGTTGTGAACGTCCATCGATAGGCTTTTTTTCTCCTTACAGTGTCCGATTGATAGCGTTTTATTGCTTAATGGTTCGGTGATATTCAGAGTTGAGACGGAAGGACACCATGAGACGGGTACAGTAACGCCGCCAATGGACGTTCTACGACTATCAGCTGTCTTCAGAGCCACTCAGAGAGCTCGCACGTGACCTATTAACGCTAGTGGTTCGTCCATCTCGTCGTGTTGTGTAATTTTATCTTTTTTTTTTTTTCCTTTTTTTTTTTAAACGGGTCGTCTACGGTTGAAAGTGTCCAGCGTGAATTAATCATAACTTTAAGAAAAAAAAAAAAAAAAAAAAAAAAAAAAAAAAGAAAGCGTGGTCCCGAAAGTATATGTGTTTCTGGCATTTCATCATCATTCGAAACCGACTTTCGCCGCAAATCGAACGTGGACCGGTCCGTAAAAGAAAAAAAAAAATGGCGGCTCGTTCGCACGATTTTCGAAAGGGAAGAAAGAACGAAAGGGGGGAGGGTCATCAGGGGGAGGGGAGAGGGGTTATTATACGCTAAAAATTATACGTTAATAAATCCTGTCTGCTACATACATAGGCGCATCAGTGACAGGTATTGTAAACAACTTAAATAGAAACTAAACGTTAAACATACGAGTAAAAACACATTTGCCCATACTAAATGGAGGCTAAAAAGTATACACACGATCCAACCGAGTATCATACACGCGTCATTATACACGAGATATTCTACAACGAGACTCTCTCACCGTGGACCAATCGGCTACGTTTCAAATACTTTCTTCCTTTTTTTACATATATTTTTTTTTCTTTTTTTCTNTTTTTTTTTTTTTTTTTTTTTTTTTTTTTTTTTTTTTTTTTTTGCCCCCTCATTTTCTTTCCTCAGACGACGTTTCTTCTCGATTAGCAGAAGACATCAAGTTCGTATCAAGTTCGTAAAGAAACGATTGTTTTTTTCTTTCTCTTCTTGTTTCACTCTATTGTTCGCTTTCTTCGTATAATAATCTCGAGAAAAACAATTCTCGAGCATTTTGTACGCGAAGAAGCAATATAGAAGCAATATATAAAATACACGATAAGGGAGGGAGCGTATATAAGAGCAGATCTCTATGGCTTCTCCACGTGATTTATTTTTTCTTCTTTCCTTCTTTTTTTGAATTAATATTTGTATGCTTTTGTTCCATTCATATATTCTTTTTTATCGACTTGACCTTTCCTCTTGCTATCTAATTCGTCTTTTTGTTTATCGTTCAGTTTATACATTAGGCATAATTGTAATATGCTGTAGAATGTAGTAGGCTGAAAGTAAGTCGATGAACACTTAAATCTCAGTCGCCTGAACTGTTGAATGAGTTAAACGCTTCCAGAAATCGCGTTTTTCAGGAAGAAAGTATTTGAGTACACCTTGGTCTGAGATCGAATGACTAGCATTTCCGGTTGTTGTTTGCGCCACTGTTCTGGATACGCAAGCGGTCCTGGCGGCGTGGCCGCTTGCCTTTTACACTGAACACCTCTCTCAGTTTGTTACTCCTCTCCAGACGGCCTCTCTTCAACGCTTGGGTAGACCTCTTCTCGAAAACCTGCGCATAATTTCAATTTACAATTCAATCGAGATTACCCTCTTTAAACAACTATATAACAAATATATATATATATATATATATATATATATATATATATATATACAATAATTCCTCTGAAAACTTCTCCTCTCCTTTTTTTTTTTCCTTCATTTTTCATTCCTATCATACTCTACATATATATTCCGTTCCGTTAAAATCCTCTACAATTTTCTACACTTTTCTCCTTGTTTCTGAATATCACCGCTGTTCTATTTTTAACTACACGCAGATACTCGGAGAACAAGCTGACGACAGAGAGGAGGAGGAGGAGACAGAGTCACGCAGCATTTCATCGCAGCGTGATCCCGACCGGATGGTTTAACTGTAATTATTAGTTTAAATTAAAAAATACGAAAGAGAAAGATCCCTCACCTTCTGCGAAGCCGACCGAAGCTGAGCTATCCTCTTCTCGGTTCGGGCGCGATCAACGGCAGGTCTTCCATCGTGGATGGCTGGTCTTCTACGGGTTGCTTGTCGCTCGTCCTCGCTTCTCCTGGGGCTACGTTCCGGCGAAGCTGCTGCTGCTGCCGCCGCCGTGTCCGGGGCGCTGGAGACCAGGTCGGGCAGAACGTCCTCCTCGACGGCGTCTTCCGACGCGTCAGGCGTGGGCGGTGGGGTTTCGGGGGCGACCGGAGACGCTGTGGCTCGGTACACGGACATACTGGGATGCTCTATCAGCAGGTCCTCTAGCGGTGATGTTTCTACGTTCACGGGGCCCGCCCGTGTGAAACATGCGGGTGGCGTTACATACCACGACTCCTCCAGCGCCGTCGCGCCCTCAACTGCGGAATTCAACATCGCCCCCCGATCTCAGTCCCGATCCTCTAACAAGGGGTTATTCATCCATGCAATGCAATTTATAAATGCAATTTTGTCACGCCCGCTTTTACGTAACCGATGATCGAGCAATATTCAAAATAATAAGGAAATCGAAACTTTCTTATCGCCACGAAACTTATCGCGCAATTACTTTTGAAATATCGGTGAAAATTCGTAAACGAATAACACGTTTTGAAAATATTTAAAATTTTTTTTCTCTTTTTAGATTTATTACCGCTATTATTTATCAACTATTCTCAAAAAAAAATAAGTATCATTATATATTTATATATCTATATATGTCTATACAGTCTATATATATATATATGACTAATGATACTTATTTTATACATATATATATATATATATATATATATGTGATCTAAGAGATCAAAAATCGTGTACGCGAACTCCGAAATATCGCAGAAATATTTAAAAAGAAAAAGAAATAACAATGTATCGATACGTGACGGTTTTCTCCATACCATAGTCCCCCCCCAACGTAAATACAAGACTAATGTACCCAGCGAACATCCATCACCCCGAACATTTCCCACCCCACGAAAGAAAACAATCGACCAAAAAGGCTCTCGTTATTCCTCGCCATAGGAGTAATCGCGTTATTCATCGTCCCATGGTCCAAAGACGCGTCTCGTTTTACACCCTCCCCCCCTCCCCCCCTCCTCCAAAGGGGACACAGAAAGCGGGCGTCACTCTGGCGTGAGATGCCACTCTAGTTCTCTAAATGTACCTCTGTGCGTATGTACACACACACACACACACACACACACATACATACATATATATATATATATATACATATATATGTGTGTGTATAAAGACTGGGGAATGTATATATATATATATATATATATATATATATATATACATTCTCCAGTCTTTCTCCCAGATGCACGGTCCTTTTCCAGAGGGGGGGAAAAAAAGGCCGATTCATCGAGGTCTGAAACGTACCAGCACGGTCAATGAGGATCCAGTCTTCGCCCTCAACCTCCACCTGACTGAGCCTCGCTATTACTGGAAGGGACTCCGGGCTTTCGTTATTGGACCTTTCCCGTGAATCTTGCGCGCCGGAGATATTACCTCCGAGTAAGTAGTTTGCCAAGCTGCTCAGCATCCTGACCTTCTTGCTCTTCAGCCCCTGTAATCCGAACGAATACGAATCGTTCTTGGTGAAAACGTTTCATGCGCATAGATGCCCCCCCTCCCCCTCCCCCTCCCCCTCCAGGGACCAGTTTCGTTTTGGATGATTATAAAGGGGGAGGGGGAGGGGAGGATTCAATGGCGTGTAACGCCTTGATGAAATTCGTGGTTTTAGCGGTTTTAGTAGTCAGGGAAGGGATGAGAGATGCGTTTGCGTTCCGAGAAATTGACGAGAAGCCATTAAGTGATGCAAATGAGGCGGATGTTAAACTGTTGGCTCGTATGGCGTGCAGCCGCTGTTATTCAGCCGCTTTATTCGAAATTATGAATAACGAATGAAATTTTTTACTTATTATTCATTTATTCGTTGCAAGGTTGTCGCTTAGGTTTTAATAATTCGTTTTTCTAGAGGAAACTTACTTTTCACAATTCACGTGGAATAACACGTTTTAGAAACACGATATTTTGAGTGTATTTCGCTCTCGTGTCGATATTTAAAGAAGCCGAAAATTTTCGTCGCGTGTATATATATATGTATATATCCTCGGCTCGGGTCGGATACTTCGAAAGTATCTTTCCCCTCTAAGATAAATATCTTTTCCAAGATTTTCGGGACCTCGTTGTTTCGGGACGAGTTTCGTCCCTCGATCTTTCAACAAAATTAATCCCGAAATACGATTAGGGGTTCTGGAAATCTTGGAAAAACCGACCCGACCCAAAAATCCCAGATATTTTTAGATACTCGTATAACCGACACCTTCGGGTTACAAATCCGAAAGTAAAACTCGTCTTTGAACTATCTACTACATCGAGAATTATTTTTCACTAATTTCCACTACGTTAATTGAACTGTCCAATATTGTAATTCTCGTTTCTCAATTCGATATCCGTTGACGAAAAACAACTCTCGATAGTTTTATTCCCAAATTCATATCCTTAGAGAGAGACAGACAGACAGAGAGAAAGAGAGAGAGAGAGAGAGAGAGAGAGAGAGAGAGAGAGAGAGAGAGAGAGAGAGAGAGAAAGAAAGAAACGCAACCGACAAATTCAGATAAATACCGAGATGAATTCTCGTTCCGTGGAAACAAAGAGATCAAATGTGGTTTTTTTTTATTTTATACAATGGACTCATAGAGGTATGAATCGCTACTATCGGGCCCATGGTCACCATGTTATAATTATCGTTGCGCGTGCACGGCACGGAGGATGATCAACGGTGGTATTACGTAAGAAAATGGCTGTGGTGGACACAACCGCTGTAAATTGAACACGGCCGATTCCGGTGGCTATGCGTTTAAAGGTATTTTTCTTTTTTTTTTTTTTTTTTTTTTTTTCGTATAGCATACCTCTTGACGATCGTGAGCGTGTGTCGCGAGAGGCCTTGTAATCGCCTTTATGACCGTTGCGCAATGGAAAAACGCGGACCGCGCGTGAGAACGGTTCGCTTCCCCGCAAATGGGACACCGATGCCTGCGTTTCGCTATTTATCGAGCCACTCGCGTCAACACTGTTGCACACTGTTTACTCGCCTCACCAATAGTTCTCTCTACTCTGGCAAATTGTCGTTCGCTCCCCCCCTCTCCCTTGCCCCACCTCTCGAGAATTGTTAGAGCCGTAAGTTCCACAGGCATTGAATAGAAATTTTTCGTGAATTCGAAACTTTCTAAAACTTCTTTGATATTAATTGATGTTGACTTTAACGAGATGGAAGATACATTGGGCGATTAATAATGGAATACTTTTATAAATATCGTTTAGAAGAAACTTCTTTTGAGTTGAGTATTTTTTGAGGAGAAGTTTTTACTTTAGTGTGTGTGGAATAGTTGGACAAAATGATGCAACTGATAGTGAATGATTGATAGGAAGTTTTTTCGTAATTCTTTGTAAGACGATACTTAGTAGAAGAATTTTTGAGGAGAGGTTTTTATTTTAATAGTGTGGAGTAGTTAGACAAAATGATGCAACCTGATAGCAACTGATAGGATTGAATGGAAGATTTTTTCGTAATTCTCTCTAAGACGATACTTAGTAAGTATTTTTGAGGAGGGGTTTTTACTTTAGTAGTGTGCGAATAATTAGACAAAATGATGCAATTGATAGCAAACGATTGAATGGAAATTTTTTCGTAATTCTTTCCAAGACGATACTTATATAATAGAAGTAAAGATAGTGTTAGATTATACGATAATAGAATATTTTTATAAATATCTGTAACGAGAAAGAATTTTTTAAATATTTTAAAGAAACAATTTACAGAAAACGAAGTATATCGACAAATTTTCTTTTTGACTCGAATTTAAAAAATAAATATCACGAGTACATAAAGTGATTAAAAATTATACGATTTTAATTGCATTTGACCTATTATCCTATATTCACAACTATAGTTTTATCTCTATAGTTTTTTTTTTTTTTTTTTTTTTTTTTTTTTTTTNTTTTTTTTTTTTTTTTTTTTTTTTTTTTTTTTTTTTTAATGGAAATATAACACTTGCATTGTGCATTTGAATGTATTCATACTACCAAGGTATAAAGTATCGACATAAGCGAATAAATAGTGCGTCTGTTCGCAAACAAACTATTTTTTTTTTTAATAATCGTTACGTATTACAAGTTAAACGCTTGTGTTGTTCGTAGCCTTCGCTCCATTGCATTTAAAGTGACATTAATTAAGATAAAACATAATATAAGCTAAAACTATTATAATAATTATAAACATGTTAATTATTTCTTTTACAATTTCGTAATAAACCGATAATTTTAATAATAGTTATGAAAAAAAAAACATTTACATATACACACTCAAAGAGAATTGGTTCGAGAATCAATTTTGTTGTAAAAAAAAAAAATTTATACGAAATCTCCAAACCGTTCAAAAAATAAAATGTTAAATAATAAATCTATTACTCACAACACAACACGACACAAAAAAGCTCTTTCATTCGCAAAGGGCTATTCACAACTAGAGCTGTTTTTCTTCCAACGCAGATCGTCTTATTGCGCAAACCGATTTGCCGCTCGTTCGCTCGAATGACAAACTAGACAAAGTGCAACCAAAAGTCCAACGATAATTACCCACGTGTACAAAGCATCAGATAAGGCTCTACTGCATACACAAAAAACCAAACACAACTTTGCTATCCGGTTCAGTCACCTCGTGTAACGAAAAAGAAAAAAAAAAAAAAAGAAAAAATCTTTTGTTCTTCCTATTGTGCGTCCAGATCTCGTGTGTGCGATCTTTGAAAACGATTGGACGACCGATCGTCGCTGCGACAAAATACTACGTAATTTGGACTCGACGAGTAAATGAAACGAAAAAAAAAAAAAAAAAAAGAACAAACAAACAAACAAACGGAAGGAAATAATTAAAATACTCGCGCCACGATTATTTGTTTATCAACTGATGATAACGCTAAAAAAAAAAAAAAAAAAGATTCGATAACATTCCACGCGAAACTCGTGGAGGAAACTACGTTCGTGTCCACTCGCCACGCTCAAATGATTCATGGACCAGAGAAAACGCGATCTGTAAACGCGTGCTTGCTCATTATCGCGGTTAAACATCTGTTTTGCTAATTTCACCAGATAACGGAATCTGTGATGCTACGTGTTCGATAGTCTGAACTTTGATGTGAAATGTATGAAGAGGGAGGGAAAGAGAAAAATAGGAAGAGAACAATAAATTGAAAATAAATCGCATACGGTTAGAGTTTTCTTGTTGCTGAACAAGTAAAGAATAAGTAGAGGGGAAGGAGGGAAAAAGAGGACGAAATTGATGAAACGAAAGTGGAAATACGCTTATTTCCATGCGACGCGAATATTTTGTTCAAGAGTCATCTTTTTTTTTATAAAATATAAAATATACATATTTCATCTTAACTCTAAGAAAAGATGAAATCGTGTAATTCTACGGAAAAAAAGTTGTTCAAGAGAGATATCGCATATGGAAATTGTAAAATCACTGTGTTGCGCAAAAAGCGGTAAGCCAAGAAAAGAAAGAAGAAGAAAAAGAAGAGGAAAATATTCAACGTTACGTTAGAGTTACGTTCGGATTATTACGCGGAGTATTAACCTTCGAATCATTTTTCATTCTTCGACTCAATCAATAATCCCATTAAAATTCCTAAACAACGATGCGAAACGAAATATTCCTCCGTTTCCCAATTAATGATCTAACCCTCGACTCGGACCGTGCAGATAGGCAAAGCACGTAACCGCACGTTCTCGAATTATACGCTGCAAGATTGTCGTAAAAGAAATACCGATAGAATATATGCTTCTTGCACGCGGACCAAACTCGATCTTCTCCAATACCAATTTCGCCAAATACTCGACACGTGACGCACGCATACGCACACCTGGTGCACATACCTGATGGAATCAGGGATCGGATCGATTTCCGACCGTGATTCGCGACGAATTCTCGTTCTCGGGTGGGGGAAGGAGAAGGAGGGGGAAGAGGAGGAGAGAGAGAGAGAGAGAGAACGCGAATCGCATAGCAATACGGGCGCGACACGAGTTCTCTTTTTCACGAAGCAGTAAATATAAACGCGTGCATCGACTTTCCGCGTGTCTGCCATCATCGGTTATGCCACGCTTCGACGCAACACGCGTGCACTTTATATACATAACAACCGCTGTTAGTCAGTCTCGTTGTGTCTTCATTATGTTAAGTGTCTGCCCGCGTAATTATGTTAATGGGCAACGATTCGCTTTCGCGGCAATGATCCTTGGAATCACGTCGCCTTTTTCGTTGCTTTTCTTTTTCTTTTTTTTTTTTTTTTTTAACATTGTCACGATTACCACAAATGTACGAATTAACGAAACACGTTATTTTGTAATATTACGTTAAATCGGATTAGAAGAACGGCTGTTACGAATACGTTGAATTAATAATGGCACAGCAAAATGGAAAACCGCGTATATCTCGACGATATACTACGTGAATAGTGGTGGACGGATGACGATAGTACGATGATAGTTTTATCTAGTTAAAAATGA